TATATATATATATATATAAAAATGTGTTTATGACTCAGTGAACAAGCTGAGGACTATATCTCTTCTATTGAAGGACTTTAATATAGCAGTGTTATAATTTATGCTGATCTTGATGTGTGTAATGTGCTATTATCAGTTGTTATTATGTTATTATGCACAACATATTGTTTACTGTTCCAGCTCATGAAAAAAGGTGTAGCATTCAAGCCCATTCCACAAATCACCATAATTATGCTAACAGGCAATGCCTCAGGGGCCTCATTAATATATATTTGCATATTTTGCAAATATACTTTGCATAGATTTCATCCTTAAAGTGTGCCTGTGCAGAGAAGGCAGATTTTGCATAGGCACAAATAAATCCTGCTGAAGATTATGTTTACATTCATCCGCACCCGTCTCCTCACCGAAATAACCAGATATGGAGCTTACACACCTAGTTTACTATGCATTACCTCCTTTGAATACAATTTACATATGCATATTCCCATCTCACACTTTAGCGGTACAAGAAAATGTGAGAGATGGACTGTAATGTCACATCACATTTGCTGAAGATCATTTAGTGTCCTTGTGAAGAGAATGGTATAAAAGTGAATGTAAATGAACAGAGGTAATGTTTAGCTATTTTAAACAGACAGAATATATTATTTACAATACAGAATATGTTTAAATGTTTAATAAAACGATTTACAGCAATATAAGGCTGTTTAATTACTGTAGTTTTTGTGATTGTTTGTCACTTCACTTGTTTGTCAGTGGTGGAGATCAAACTGTTCAGATTAATCATGGATCAACCACAAACACCTGGAGATGACTGTTTTTTTCCAGGACACAGGTACTTTGACTAACACATAAAAAACATACACAAAATAAACTTTTTTTATAACATAAAAGGTTATTTAATAAGTTTAATATTCATTTGAAACAATAAGACCATAAAGGCTCCAAAAGTCTTTTTCATAAAAATACCTTTTGAAGTATATTAAGATGAGTATTTTATTATATTAAGATGATTCTCATAATAAAGGGTTAAATCTGTTCCGTTTCAGTTCAGTTCATCAGAAGAGATCAGAAGCAGAGCCCAGCTGTGTGTCTATGAAGAGTGACTGGTCTATGCCTGTACCATTAAAGTTTAACAGTGGCGATACACGGCCTGTTCTCAGGTATAACGTTTGTATAAAAATATGATTATAACATGACATTTTACATTATCAAATATTATCACAGTTCAGTTCACTATTTTTGTATAAACCGTGTATGAACTGATTACAAAGTGCTCTTTACATAGAATCATTTGCATACAGTAATATAAAGGATGAAATTGAATCTCTCTGTTTTAGCTCAGTTCATCAGAAGAGATCAGAAGCAGAGTCCAGCTGTGTGTCTATGAAGAGTGATGCATCTATGGTTTGTCAAGAACAATTCAAGAGTGGAAATACACAGCCTGGTCTCCGGTATAATATTTCTGTAAAAGATATGATTTGAAGATATGAGACAGAATATATGAGACATTGGGCTTATTAACTCCTGCAATAATGTTGAATTTTTATTTTACAGCAATGAAGCCCTCAGCATGTTTAGATCAAATCTGATGAAGAAGTTTGAGCGTCTGTATGAGGGAACAGCGATGCAGAGAAACCCAACACTGCTGAATGAGATCTACACAGAGCTCTACATCACAGAGAGTGAGAGTGGAGAGATCAGTAATGAGCATGAGGTGAGACAGATTGAGACACAATCCAGGAGAGCAGCAACAGAGGACACAGCCATCAAATGCAGTGACATCTTTAGAGCTTTACCTGGACAAGACAAAGCCATCAGAACTGTGCTGACAAAGGGAGTCGCTGGCATTGGAAAAACAGTCTCTGTGCAGAAGTTCATCCTGGACTGGGCTGAAGAGAAAGAGAATCAGGATATCCAGCTCATATTTCCACTTCCTTTCAGAGAAATCAACTTCATGAAGGACAAAACACTCAGTCTTTCAGATCTTCTTCATGTGTTTTTCCCTGAAAGTAAAGAAATGGAAATATCCAGTGATGAATATAAAGTGTTGTTCATCTTTGATGGTCTGGACGAGTGTCGTCTGTCTCTGGATTTTCAGAGCGATGTGAGGTTGTGTGATGTAAGTGAATCACTTTCAGAGAAATCAACATGATGAAAAACAAAACACTCAGTCTTTCAGATCTTCTGCAGATTTTCTTCCCTGAAACAAAAGAAGTGAAAATATCCAGTGAAGAATATGAAGTGTTATTCATCTTTGATGGTCTGGACGAGTGTCGTCTGTCTCTGGATTTTCAGAGCAAAGTGAAACTGTTCATCTTTGATGGTCTGGATGAGTGTCGTCTGTCTCTGGATTTTCAGAGCAATGTGAGGTTGTGTGATTTAAGTAAATCTGCCACAGTGGATGTGCTACTGACGAACCTCATTGCAGGAAATCTGCTGCCCTCTGCTCTCATCTGGATCACCTCCAGACCAGCAGCAGCTGATCTCGTCCCCTCTGAGTGCGTCCATCGAGTGACAGAGATACGAGGCTTCAATGAGCCACAGAAGGAGGAATACTTCAGGAAGAGGATCAGTGATCAGAGTCTGGCCGACAGGATCATCTCACACCTGAAGTCATCAAGGAGCCTCTACATCATGTGCCACATCCCAGTGTTCTGCTGGATCTCAGGCACTGTTCTAGAGAAGATGTTGAGTCGAGCACAGAGTGGAGAGATTCCCAAGACTCTCACTCAAATGTACACACACTTCCTGATCCTTCAGACCAACATCAGACGTGATAAGGACTATAAGAAGAATGTGACAGATAAAGCCATGATCCTCAAACTGGGGAAAGTGGCTTTTCAGCAGCTTGTGAAAGGCAACTTGATCTTCTATGACGAAGACCTGAGCGAGTGTGGCATTGATGTGACAGAAGCATCAGTGTACTCAGGATTGTGCACTCAGATCTTCAGAGAGGAGTTGGGCTTGTATCAGGGGAAAGTCTTCAGCTTTGTTCATCTGAGCCTTCAGGAACATCTAGCAGCTCTATATGTGCATCACTCCTTTACAATCAAGAGGAGAAATGTGTTTAACCAAACCAAACAGAGTCTTTTGTCTAAGATTTTTAACCAGAAGAAATATAATTCACTATCTGAGCTGCATCAGAGAGCTGTGGATGAAGCTTTACAGAGTAAGAATGGACATTTGGATCTTTTACTGCGTTTTCTTCTGGGTCTCTCAGTGGAGTCCAATCAGACTCTCTTACGAAAACTACTGACACAGACAGGAAGCTGCTCCTACAACAAAGAGGAAACAGTTCAGTACATCAAACAGAAGATCAGGCAGAATCGCTTTCCAGAGAAATCCATCAATCTGTTCCACTGTCTGAATGAACTGGGTGATGATTCACTGATGCAGGAGATCCAAGATTATCTGAGATCTGGAGAAATAAGAGAAACCAAACTCTCCTCTTCACAGTGGTCTGCTCTGGTTTATGTTTTGCTGACATCAGAAGAGAAGATGGATGTGTTGGATCTAAAACTGTTTGTTGGAAAACAGCATACAGCAGACGAAGTTCTTCAGAATCTGTTACCTGTGGTTAAAGAATCCAGATCAGTTCGGT